CGCGCGTTAATTGGAATCACTTCACTACGTTTGAAATGACGTGGTTGATGTGCCGTTTAATTAAATTTCAAATGACGCGAGCCAACAGATCACGACACTCTTGTATATAAAAGAGCGTGTGAATTAAACAAGTCACGTATTATTAGCACAGAGTCACAGAGTAGATAAGACATACAGAGACGTAACTGACCGTTGTAAACACTGCGGAAGATTACGTTATCATGTACCCACTTTTTTTTTAGGCGACCGGGCGAAAAATGATCAACTGCGCGTGCTCAGCAAGTTTAAAGTGAGTCGTCATCAGGTAGTCATCCAATCAGATGCATGCATCTAGTAACTTGCCGAGCATGCGCACAAAAAAAGTGGGTACACTAGTTACGTCTCTGTATGTCTCTACTCTGTAACAGAGTAGAGACATACAGAGACGTAACTAGTGTACCCACTTTTTTTGTGCGCGTGCTCGGCAAGTTACTAGATGCATGCATCTGATTGGATGACGACCTGATGACGACTCACTTTAAACTTGCCGAGCACGCGCAGTTGATCATTTTTTATTTTATTTTATTTTATTTTTATTTTACAAGATTCGCCAAACATAACAGACATAAATAAGACTAATACTTTACAAAATTTACATACAATTCGGGCAGGGACTAGCCACAGAGATAATCTCTCAATTATGCCCCCCCCCCCCCTTTTTGGATCGGTTGCCTGGAAAAACGTGGGTACATGATAACGTAATCTTCCGCAGTGTTTACAACGGTCAGTTACGTCTCTTTATGTCTTATCTACTCTGTGTTATTAGCACTGATGAAGATCAGGGCTTACGGATCGAAAGCTTTGCAGTAATAAATTTACGTGGTGTTTCCACAAACAACAACAATTAATAAACAGTCTGTTCTTGTTCCATTTGTAATCGAAAAAAGTGATCAATTTTCGAATTTTAAGCTTATCGAGATTTATCGAGAGCCTTTGTGATGAATCACTGACCTAATTATAGAATCCAACAGCAAACAGCCAATCAGAATGCCGCGTTCGTGGGCGAACGCGGAAAGTACAAAATACCGGGCCTTGCTTGCAGGCCCACTATCAGCATGCTATCCGTTCCCTTGGGCCTGCACGCGGGCTAAGCATGACCAGTTGCCATGGATATTAGTTTGCCACTGCATGAATACTGTACAACATAATCATACATATAGACAATAATAATACTTGAATGAATCATTGGACAGGCAGAACTTAATAACAATTTCATGTATAGAAATACTGAGTCAGTTTTTGTCCCCATTATCATTTTAATAGGGAGCTTTAGATTTGACTACGAGTACGACTACGAGTACGAGATTCGTCAAGCTAAACGCATGCTGTATGCTTACGCCATCCCGTACTGACGCTAAAAAGTCGTAGCCGTCGCCCATCTGAGTAC